ACTACTGGTAATTCATTAATAAATTCCCCAATGATTATTCACATTGTTTAAGTTATGGAAGAACGGTAGCATAATTTTATTTCATTGTCATTTAATAAATTGTTAGGCTTTATTTTAGGGTTGCATGGAATACTTTTTTAGCGTGGTACTCGTAAAACATGAAGTTTTTCATTTAAAAATCTTATAACTAACTGTATAATGATTATTTTTAAATAGTGCCAGTGCAAATTTTGAGTGCACATAATTTTAATAATTTTAATTTACATTTAAAAAAAAAAATAGGCCTACATGTAGATATTTTTTCTCATAAACCTGTAGTTTATTTTTAGGGATAAAAATCTTCTCCTGATTTCCTTATTTAATAACTTTTTTAAAAAAAATAATCTAACTACATTTGTGTAAATATACAGTCTCTGAAAATATTGATTAACTATAATAATCTCTACTTATCAAAAGATTGTAAGAAATCCTTGCTTTTTTAATAGTTTAAACTTCTCTCTGTTGCAAGTAAACAAAACAACTGGGAGCCTGCAAATTCAGAATACACAAAGGGGCGGAGCTTTCATGTCACTCAGAACTTCTTTCACACATGAGTGAACAAAGCAGTCCCAGGGACAGCTGGGACTGCTGGGTCTGCTTTTTAGAGCAGTCCCAGGGCAGTCCCATAGCAGTCCCACAGCGGTCCAAGAGCAGTCCCATAGCAGTCCCAGAGTGGTCCCAAAGCAGTCCCTGGGACTGCTTGGGTGTCAGGTTGGGTCTGGTCGGTACTGTAGTGTGCATCCTAAGATGTACCATCCTTGCAAGTTTGGTCAACATAGGGCTTATAGTTACTCGGAAATGAGACCTACACCAAAAACGTCACCAAAAATGTTAACCTGCTCCAAAACATTAACCTGGTGATTCCTTTGCTGAAATTTCAGCATCTGAAATTTTGACTGGTACAATGAGACACACTAAAAACATCTTCCATGCATGTTTAATCAATATAGGACATAGAAGTACTTAAAAAGAAAACTGCTCCAAAAAACTTAACCTTAACCCGTGACACTGACACCGACACCAAGGGTATTACATAAGATCCCCAACTTCGTTGAGGTGAGCTAAAAAATTAAGAAAACCATGAATCTTATATGAGAAATCAGACAGGGATAATTTCCCAACACAGGTGTTTAAGAAGTTAATTCTGTCTTGTCACCATAATCAAAACTATGTCTGAACTCTCACTTTATTTACAATTTACAACATTCTTTCTAATAATATTATACATATATCACATGGCTTCGAGGGTGACATACCAGAATATTTGCCCCGAGGTGACAGGAAAGCCCTGGAGTGTTATGTCACCCGATGCCGAAGGCAGAGGGTGACATAACACACCAGGGCTTTCCAGTCACCGAGGGGCAAATATTCTGGTATGTCACCCTCGAAGCCATGTGATATTGAAGAGAAAATGAATTTCTTAGAGGGTCAGAGGTCATGACCGAATCACAGAGTGAGGTGGGGGTGGGGGGGGGGGGGGGGGGGGGTAGTCGATGACTTCTAATGCTTCAAACAGGGTGTAAGTTTGTGCAACCACATCTATATCTTTATAATTTAGAGGCAAAAATATAGGTTTGCCAGAAAAGGTGCAAGATGCGCACATTTTTGCAATTCATATTTATCTCAGAGGAGACTGGAGGTTATGGATCCTTAATTGTTTTCAGAGTTAAAAAGCCATTTGTGGAAAGTACTATGCTAGTAAAACCTAGCGTATGCTTTAAGACTTTAGAGCAGTATCCTTATCGAAACTCAATTTACTTTCAGCTGTCGTTGAAGTCCAGCAAGGATGACCATAAAAAATCCATTTTTTGCTTTCTAACCGCAATGTTTACAGACTGATACTTTACACGTAGTAATGCATACACAACCAAATTAAAATGGAGGTTTATGCAATAATAGGTTTATACGTAAGTAAATTTGCTATATGTTCATACAACAAAATTTACACACATGAACTAAAAATTTGCGACATGTATGTAGTCCTGACCAGGTGTAAATTTACTCAACTGTGCAGAATTTGCATGTTAGCAAATCAGTTCATACCACAAAAATTGCACATGTGAGTAAATTTACATATGAGTTAAAATATACTAAGGTATGCAAATCACGTCGTATGAATGGGGTATTAGTTAGTTTATTTAATACCTAGGAGCAGAGAAGAAAATTTACAAAGATTTAATGTATTTTCACTATATAATCAATAGAGCCCCGCCCTAACACCAGAACCCCTGATCCTGGGGCCATAAAATTCACAAATCTGGAAGAGGCACTCTTGCTCATCATAACTATGTACTTAGTTAGTTCATTTACTACCCATGAGCTGAGAAGAAGATTTTCAAAGAAATAATGCATTTTCACCATGTAATATATATAGCCCCGCCCTAGCACTAGAACACCTGTCCCTGGGGCCATGAATTTCACAGTTTTGGTAGAGGACTCAATTGTCATTACATTCATGCCAACAGTTTGCCTGCTTGATGTCCAGGAGTAAAGAAGAAGATTTTTAAAGATTGCAATAATTTTTGTGGTTTTGGCCCAACCCCTCAGGCCCCAGGGGGGCGGGGACCATGAAATTCAATATTTTTGTTCCCCTTCACCCATAAATGCTGTATACCAAATTTGGTTGAAATTGGTTCAGTGGTTTCAGAGAAGAAGCTGAAAATGTTCAAATGTTAACACACGATGCACGACGACGGACGAAAACAGATAGCAATAGGTCACCTGAGTTACTCAGGTGACCTAAAAGTACAAAGGTTGTCCAGTAAAATCGTAGACAAAGCATTTTTCTAAAAAAATAATGGGCTCACAGAGCTGATATTTTCAGTGAATGTTCATCAATCATATCTAAAATGCATAAAAAATAATTTTTGATAAAATATAGACAAAAATAAAGATTTTATTATGCTTGAATGTGCACAGGGTAAGGCCCTACGGCGTACGGACAAAAAGTCAAGATTTTATTAAAGAATACACAAGTATTAATTTGAAATTAAAGTTTTATATACATAACAATGGGGTAAAAAGATCCTAATTTGATTCTACAATCTATTTTGGCGTCTTTTTAAAAATTTCAAGGCATTTGGTTGATATTTGGCAGTTTCCCAAGCATTCAAAATGGGAAAGTGTTAAACTCAACACACAAACATAGGTAATCAAAGATTACGAAGCTCACCTCGACAAATGTTATCAATTTAGGTAATGCAAATCTCACATCATATTTCCTTAACAGTTAGCATTTATTCTGACAACAGTATTCAAGCAAGTTCTGTTTAAATAGGTCTTAAAATTCATTGGGGAGTGACCAGTTCCAAAAATTTAACCTCATCAATTGTTTGGAAAATACAAGTCAGATTCAACATCCAAAGCAACTTTCCATCATCCATCCTTAAATGCATCATCCATGCAAGTTTGGTCCGAGTAGGGCTTTTAATTACTTGGGAATATCCTAGTCACTAATCTGGAAAATGTAGGTCACATACAGCACCCGAAGCAAGTCTGGTAGTGTCCATCCCTAGATGCATCATCCATGCAAGTTTGGTCCGGGTAGGGCTTATAGTTAATTGGGAATGGACCTGCTCCAAAAACTTGCTTCTGGAAAATGTAGGTCACATCCAGCATCCGAAGCAAGTCTGGTAGTGTCCATCCCTAGATGCATCATCCATGCAAGTTTGGTCCAGTTAGAGTTTATATTTACTTGGGAATAGACCTGCTCCTAAAACTTTAACTGGGACGCCGACACCGACGCCGGGGGGTATATCATAAGCTCATCTCAACTTCGTCGAGGTGAGCTAAAAAATGGACATAGTGAAAAGTTCAAAACGCAGTGATCATTATTTTTCACACAAGACAACTTGTCCACGATTTTACAGGACAACCCTCATATTTATATCCATTGAAATGTCTTGTAACAATGAATACATAGGTGATGTATGAAAGCCCTAGAACACATTTTTCAAAAGTAATGGCTGAGGTTAAGAGGTCAAATTTAGAGTTACCCAGAGAAAGCTCTTGTCACAAGGAATATGCCTTTAAAAATTAAAGCCATAGCCCCATCCATAATTAAAGCCTGTATAACTTTATCTTTGAAAACAAGTACAGGTGACTCTTGATTGCTCGAACTCAGATCTCTCGAAGTTTTCGATCTCTTGAAGTAAACCTCCGTTCCCGTTTTTTCCTCTATATAATTAATCAAATTTACTCCTGATCTCTCGAACTTCTATCTCTCGAAACTCTCTATCTCTTGAACCAAGACCTGGGTCCCATTATGCATATTTCATTCATTTTTTACTCTCTATCTCTCGAAGTTTTGATTGCGCTTGTATACACCCCAATCAAGTTAAAATTGATGCAGCCTGGACTTACCTGGAAAACGGTGAACAACTGGGGCTAACATGGAGGTGTTAATTGGATGTTTACATAGACGACATCTGAAAGTCGTCCATGTGTTGACAAAATTAATTGGTTATTATAGGTAAATTATAAACAAATTCACAACTTATTTGGACTTGAATCCGAGATGATAATTTTTAGAAAATAATTTATAGACGTTCGTTAAAATATGTTTCAATAGTCTATAAACTTTAATTAGAGTCTACATAATCCAAGAAAGGCAAATATTGCACAAGAAATTCATCTCTCAAGGATGAGACTTGAGGAATTCATTTCATTTATTCGAAATACAATCATTGTTGTTGAAATCAGGTGAATTACCTGTAAAATACGATTGAAAATGTGCAATGACTTTATTTACATATACTTCCGGTATCTATATTAGTAGAACATCGATGATCAGAACTGAAAAATTTGGATTTTATTTACTTTCTATCTCTTAAACCCTCAGTCTCTTGAACTTTTATTGCGGTTCCTTGAATTTCGAGAGATCGAGAGTCATCTGTAATCTTTAAACAAATAATACAAGTATCTTTGAATACAAGTAATTCCCCTTTTCTTACTTTACTCACCTGAATAAACAATGCATAGGCTATTGGCATGCTCCTTATAGACATGAAGAATTCTCCTTGATTCATAGACTCTTTTAACCTCAGTAACACGGTGTAAACTACAAAACACGAAAAAATCTGAAATTTTTTACAAAATGTGTTAAGAGCATACATCAACATTTTTTTTTACCATGACGACACTTAATGCACATTAGAAAAAAAAAGTAAAAATAAAAAAAAATTTTACTTAGATTTTAGTTATACAGAGCATTAATCTGATAGACCTATGAACTGGTCTACATTCATCGAGAACGAAGAGATGCATCAACTGACAAAGTTTGATGAATCTAAGCCAATAAGTACCTGATACTCTTAAATATAGCCATAATATGCTCAAAGGCATTCACACCTGTGGAGAATAAGCCCCTCCCTTACCACCCAGTAAAAAATCTCTGCCTTTAAACAACCGTGTTCACCCCACAATAGTTGCACCGTCAAAACATTACATGTACATATTCCAATGCAATAGGAAATTTAATTAATTAATTCTGATGAATTTCAAATTGAACTAGATGCTGTCATGAGACAGTAATACCCGCACTAAGGTGTTTGCCTCTAAATGCACACTTCTTCATATTGAGCTTTACCAAGGAAAAAGTCAATATAATTCAATAATTTACATAATACATGTATTCATCAAATTGAGCATAATATGCTCAGGTGACCATGTAGCGGCAGATCTGCAGCGTTATGGTTTTATATATTTGTCTTTGACCATATAACGCTACAGATCCCCATATGCAAAAAAGGTGCAATTTACGGCGCAATATTTTTTGCGCACTTTTTCTCCACTTTCTAGCATTGGTCAATCAACTACCTTTCACTCCCTAATTTTAGACACATTCTGTAGCCAATATGTATATTTTGTCCACCCCCCAGCCATTTATAGTCATCTCTACAGGCAATAAACTCGCTTGATGTGAATTTTCAGCAATCTAACAAATAATTTTAATCAAGCGAGTTTATCACGTGTAGAGACGACTATGAAAGGATTGGAGATGGATAAAATATACAGATTAGTTAAACAATGTGCCTAGAATTAGGGAGTGAAAAGTAGTAAATTAACCGATGCTGGAAAGTGGAGAAATTCTCCCCAGAAGTGCGCAAAAAATATTGCGCCGTAAATTGCACCTTTTTTGCATTACAGGATCTGTAGCTTTATGGTCAAAGACTAATATATAAAACCATAATGCTACAGATTTGCAGCTAGTGACCATGTGACCCATGGGACTCCATCTTATTTTTATTTCATATTCATAATTGATTACCAGTTGGAAATAAAACAACAGAATTAAATTAATAATGTAAATTAGGTTTGATAAAGGGGGGGGGGTGTATAAATTTTTGGCACACACTGTATAAGTGGAAATTTTAGCGAAACGCAAATTTAGCGATTTCTACCTAAAATCTGGTATTTTATTTTTAGCGAGAAGTAATTTTAGCGATTTTAAAATGCTAATTCAAGAAGCTTTTACAAATAATAAGCAATTAATTTTCAGCGGTATTCAATTTTAGCGATGTCAGCACCCTCGCTAATAATGCCAAAATTAAATCCTCGCTAAAAATTCTACTTGTACGTAATTGGAACTTTTAAAATCTATTTTCTAAGATAGATTAACAAAAAATAATATTATTCAAATTAGTGTAAAGCGTTTTTGATGAATTTTTTCAAAATGTGCAAAGTTTATTTATATTTGATTAGGCAGAAACTTCTTGAAAGCTGCCATATACACAATCAATTTAGTCAACCCGCACTCCTCTCCCATCAACACACACACACAAACACACCTTATTTGCCTGTTTTTGGAAATAGGCCTAGATGGCAAAGTTAAAATAAAACATCTTTTGTAAATGATAATTTTCAATTTGTTCTTGCACTATACATGTATCTGAACACCTGCATCACATTGGGCTTGCGTCACGTACCCAACTTAAGTACTAGTTTTACCATTGGCATTATCATTTTAGATTTCACTGCACATGCAGTAGGCTACTAATGTGCATCATTGCATATATGTCAGTAGGAATTATTTCATTTTGTGTTTTAACTGGATTATATTTCATGAAGATGAAAAGGCCTAAATAATGACAATCGGTAAGTACAAGTTTTGGTATAGATTTGGGTAAAATAGTCTGAAATGCAAACAGTTAGGTTCAAGTTTAAAGGATCAAAGGTCATCCGATGCTACAATAGACGAATTTCACATTCTGAAGAGTTATCCCCCGTTATCAACGTTACATTCAGTTACAAGATCCGAAATTTTTTTTCTGGGAGGGAGGTGGGGGGGGGGGGGGGGGGTGGGGGGTTCCAGACCAGAATTTCCTGAGAAGCAAAAAAAAAAAAAAAAAAAGTTATGGTTGGGTCTGTTTTCTAGGGTGGAGGGACACTGGCATCCAAAGTCATTTTTATTGACAAATGATCATGTGACTCCTAAATAGTAGGAAACTTTTTTCATTTGACTATACATAATTTTGTTACTTGTGTTATTATGTTATGTAAATTTAATGGTATAAAGGTTATGAACCCCTAGAGGTCATCCCCACTCTCCTAATGAGCTGGAAATGTTCACAGTTTGAATATGACTGCATAAAATTAAATAAAAGTGCATCAATGATAAGATTACTTGACATTTTTATTCATGAATTTGTGTCAACCTATGTTCCTAGAATTAGGAATGAAAATCATTCAGAGATGGACCACATTAAACTATTTGTATAAACATTTTTTTTAAATGTAAAAACAAGTAGTACCGGTAGTTTGCATACATGAACAAACAGGGGTCTGCGAAGGGGTGAGGGGAAGGATCGAGTTAATATTTCTTTACGTCTTAATGGTTGAAAACTCCAAAAATGAATGTTGACCTCAAATCTAATTTGTCCTCATTATTTTTCAAGTGGTGGTGTCTCCATATGAGTGAAAAATTCCTGAGAGGGATGTTTAACAACAAACAAAATGCCATGAAAACACAGTATTGATTTGCGTTAAGAAATATGCAGGAGATTTTTTCCATCATAAATCTTCTTCTCAAGAACAGAAAGGGCATTATTGTCCCCCATTTTGGGGAAAGGGAGGGGACATTAAATCTCATTTGTCTGTCAGTCTGTCCATCTTATTGACAGCTAGTATGTGCATCTGTCACAATAAATTTAACCTTGGTCATAACTTTTGAATAATAAGAGATAGTGCTTTCATATTTCACATGTACATTACCACAAAACTTTCTAAATATACTATGATTTTTTAACCCAAGTAAGACCTTGACCTTTAAGTTTTACCTACTTTCCAAAACATAACATTTTAAATTGATCATTTTGAAAGAGAAAAGAAAGGGCATTCAAATTATACATGTTTATTACATGTGAAAAGACTTTTCTAAATATATCATGACTTCTGACTCTGTGACCTTGACCTGGAAAACTTTTCAAAAATATTATATTGTATATATAACTTTTGAATCAAAAGAGATAGGACTTTCATATTTGACATGTACATTACCTGCAACAAAATGTTTTGAGAGCATGCTATGATTTTTCCCCTTTGACCCAATTTTCAAAAATTGATATATGATAGGGGTGCACATTTGACACACAATCTGCCATAAATTATGGCATCCCATTCACTAAAACACAGAAAGCAGAGGACCACAATTCTTTGAATTTGCTTGTATAATCTTGATAGATGGAAACATCCTCATATAATGTAGATTCAAGTTTTTTATGCCACACCATGATTAGGAATACATGTATAGTTTTGTTATGTCCGTCCTCCACCCTTCCATCTGTCTTCACATGATGATACATACTGATGTAAGCTTTACAATGCTTCACTCTTTTTTACCTTGACCTTTCCTGTGACCTTGACCTCACTTTTCTAAAATTAATATCTAGATCAGTTTTGAATAAACAATTCAAGATATATTTATCAAACTCCATATGCTGATTCATACTGCTGAGAGGTATTAATACATCAACTTATTTTGACCTTGAATTTTCCTTTGACCTTGACCTCACTTTTTAAAATATGTGTTTATCTAAGTTTTAAATAAACCATTAATTATAGTTTTATCAAACTTCATATGCTAATAGTAAATTCATACTGATGTAAGCTTGTCAACTGCAACAACATTTTGGCCCCAACCTTTCCTTTGACCTCTCTTTTTTTAGAAAAACTGTTAAGCTCAGTTTCATTAAATAATTCAAGATATTTTTATCAAACATAATATGCTGATATGTATTAGTGAAGCTACTAAACTGCATCAAAAACTTCACCTTGCACATTCCTGTGATCTTGACCTCTATCCTTTTTTTATTTGTATTTCGCTTAGTTTTAAAGAAATCATTTAAGACATTTTTAAAACATCATTTTTCGACCCCCATTAGTCCCCCCCGGGGCAAAATCAACATTCCAAAACCTTACTGCACATCTACATGACACTACCAACCATCTCCTAAAAGATGATTAGCCTACTGTGTAAAATGTAAGATAAGTTCAGGGAAGACGGGGCTTTTTGCATAAAAAACGTCCTTTTTTCGACCCCCATTTGACCCCCCGGGGCAAAATCAAAATTCCGAAACCTTACTGCACATCTACATGAAACCTACGACCATCTCCCAAAAGATGATTAGGCTACTGTGTAAAATGTAAGAGGAGTTCAGGGAAGATGGGGCTTTTTGCATAAAAAACGTCCTTTTTCGACCCCCATTTGACCCCCCGGGGCAAAATCAACATTCCAAAACCTTACTGCACATCTACATGACACTACAAACCATCTCCCAAAAGATGATTAGCCTACTGTGTAAAATGTAAGAGGAGTTCAGGAAAGACGGGGCTTTTCGCATAGAAAATGTCATTTTTCGACCCCCATTTGACCCCGCGGGGCAAAATCAAAATTCCTAAACCTTACTGCACATCTACATGACACCACCAACTATCTCCAAAAAGATGATTAGGCTACTGTGTAAAATGTAAGAGGAGTTCAGGGAAGACGGGGCTTTTTGCATAAAAAACTGTGACCCCCCGGGGTCAAAATTCCGAAACCTTACTGCACATCTACATGAC